GCTGCTTCCTCCAAGTAAGAAAAAGGACCTACTGCCACCAAGTCCAAGCAGCCCCGAGTGGAGCCTCCAGGGACTTTTCAGCAGAGGTAAATTGCATGCAAAGAGACTGTCATCCTTTTCCCTCGGAGCAGAGGCTAGATTCCAACCTGGTGCCTTTGGGTTGGAAGTACAACTCCCTGCCGCCTAGGCCCAGGGGCTCCTGAAAGCAGAATGTACAGCAATCACGCTTATGAATGAAAACAGATTTGTGGTTGGTGGGGAGATCTAAAGCGGAGTTCTGATGGCTTAGTGGTTAGAAGCTATGCTGCAACCGCAAAGTCCCGAGGTTCGAATCCATGGAACCATCCTTATTCTTCCCCCACATCACAGCTCAAGTGTCTCTGTTTTGACAGTTATAATTTAGTCATTCCCTTGCTGACCTGGGATCTGGTGTAACCCTCTCCCTGCGGGATGTCACACAGGGGCTCTGCTCCATGAGGAAGTGTGCAAAAAAGGAGGGACAGTTTACCACCTCTGAAAACCACTAGAGGGTGAGCTATGGGTCGGTTCCAACTCGACAGCCAACAAGAAGAACAACTGGGAGATCTCAGGTCATCACTGCGCCCTCCAGGGGCTGCGGCCCTCCTTACCCTTCGGCACCCCCCACATAATGCTCAAGGCCTGCTCATAACCCTTCACAACTTACTTTGGTGATGTCTCTCAGGTTCCAAACCTTTCAATATGGCATCAGCTGGAGTCTCCTCTAAATCCCCCACGTCAGAAGCAGAGAGTAAGTCGGCTGGAAGGCTGATGCCGCCGAGGACAGTGAAGAGTAGCGGCCAAAGAGTAGTAGACAGCCGGCAACCAGAAGCTGGCTCTGATTCTCAGAGCTGAACGTCAGAAGAGACCCACACAGATAAGATGCTGTCAAAATGTTGGTACTTATTTGGAGCAGGCCACACCTCTGCAGCCCCTCCTCTCATCTCATTGGCTTTTCCTACAGGTCGCATCCCAGGGATTGAATACCCTCTCTGATATCTCCCCAGGGAAAGGATTACAGTGGATCTCAGCTCATCATTGCTGCTGTTGTTAAGTGCCATCGAGTCGCAGGCAACCCATAGCGATGACCCTGTGAAGGAGAGTCCTCGACATTTGGGCGCCATTCATCCTCTCTCCAGGTTCATAAGGTTTCTGGAGGCAAGCTATTATGGAAGTGGATGCCACTGCTTCTTCCAAGCTTGTTTTAATCGGGCAGCTCCACCCCACTCTCTGTCCGCATTGGGTTGTTGTTGTTGTTATGTGCAGTCGATTCGTTTGTGACTCATAGCGATCCCAAGTACAATAGCCCTAAACCCTGCTCTATCCTGTGCCAACCACATTGCCTCTGACACACCCATCCCGATTACCCCAGTCACTGAATCAATCCACCTCATAGTCTTCCCCTCCTGCGCTGTCCCTCTACCATCCCAATCATTATGTCCCTCTCCAAGGTCATGTCTCTCCTTACTACATGTCCAAAGTATGTCATATGAAGCCCCAAAATCCTTACCTCCAAAGAGTAGCCTGGTTTAACGCTCTCTAGGATGGATCTGTTTGTTTTCTTCACAGTCCATGGAACATTCAATACTCTTCTCCAGCACCACAGCTCAAAGGTGTCAGTTCTCCTTCTATCCTCCGTAGTCATTGTCCAACTCTCTGATGCATAACAAACCGCATTGGGTAGCCAGCCATTAATGCATTTGATACATCAGTGTCAGTGTTCAGCCTCACAGAAACCACAAGTGACCGTGGTACGGCAACTTGTACACCAGGGCTATATGACCTAGAAGAATGTCCGAAAAAAAAATAATGAAACACAGGCCCGAGGGCCGCAGATTAAAAGTCACCCACCTTTGGCTTGGTAGCCTCGCTTTCTGTCCACTGGGTCAGCTGAGCTCTCTCTCGTGGGCAGAGCAAACTTGGGAGAACATGGCCGCCGTCTCTCCCATCTTCCTCTTCTCCTTTTGGGTTTGAAGCCCTCTGCTGCTGCCTTAAACCCTAGGCCAAGCCTGGCTTGCCTGGCTCCTGGGAGAACAGGAATGACTAATCCATGACGGGGGAAGCAGAGGGTCACTATCCACCTGAGTTACCACCCACTTTAGCTATTACGCATTCGTTTACCTAAGCCTGGACCGCTTCCAGACCAAAGGATGAAAGTGGAATCTATTCCAGAATAGGTTTCCCACTTAGGAAATAACAGGCCCTCTACAGCCCTCCTATAAATAAAACTGGAACGTTTTTCCACACTATGATCGAGGATGAACACCTCAGGTTGGAAAGCGCTCAGAAGACCTCTGGGGAAGAGTTCCCTTCTCAACCCATAGGAGGAGGAAAACGAGGAGGAGGAGGAGTTGCTAGGTAACCTTCAGTGGAGTAGGCCTCATCCTAACTACATGGACCACAGAACAGACCTCCCCTCACCCTGTCATCCTCACCATTCTCACCCTGCTGGAAACCCGTCATAGTCACTGGGGATCCCCTGGAATGAATGGAAAGGAGGAAATGATGTAGTAAGAGGGCTAAAAGGCAGTTCTAAAGGGTCAGCTCAAGAAGACAAAGCAAAGTGTAGTTTTAAAATAAAACATGTGCAAAGATAAAGAGTTAAAAAACTGAAAG